CGCATGCGCGAAGAGACGCTCGTCCGCACCGCCCCTTCCGGCCATGGCCGAGCCACCCCCACTCGGCGCACTCCAGACGCTGGGGCGGAAGTGGCCTCGGGCCGCCAGCTCTGCCGGCTTCCGCCTCCTGCCTCTTAGGTACCTCAGCCCGGACAGCCCGAAGAGCCGGCTCCCGAGTCTCCACTCGGTGGGTCCGTCCGCCTGACCTCACCTTTTCTTGAGGGCGCCCCCACCCTAAGGGTCCCCTTGGCCTCATGGACTTCGCAAGAAAAACCTACGACTCTGAGTGAACTCAAGGTCGCGTTTGACATGAAAATTTCTTTTGGGGTTTTTGAGATGGGGTCTTCAATTTCTGGTGACCCTCTTGCTTCAGCCTCCCAAGTGTTGGGATCACAGGCGTGCGCCACCGTTTTGTAGGTCAGGCTGGTCTTGAACTCGCGGCAATACCCCTGCCCCAGCTTCCCAAGTTGTGGAAATTACAAGCCTGCGCTGGCACCATGCCCAGCCTCCTCTGAAAATCTAGAGCTAGTGCGGAGTCTCTGGTCTACCCAGCACTTCTGAGGCCCTGGAAGTCCCAGGCACTTTACTGGTTTTACCTGACAAGGATGAGAGATTCATCTCTATTGTACGCAGGTGAAATCTTTGGCCCGAAGCAGAAACACCTTGCTCAGGGTCCCAAAGCCTTCAGGCAGTGTCCAGGCAGGCCCAGCACTGGGCACAGGACTGGCTCTACAGGGAAGAGTAGCCCTTCCTTTCTACCCACAGCTTTCGGGCCTCCTTCCATACCGGACTTCCACCTGTGCCTTACACCCACACTAAACCAGAACACTAAAATACAAGGAAATTTTTATTTCAATTTTCATCAAGAAATTTGCTGTGGTTTTTTATGCTTTTGGTTCTTTTTCTTTTTTTTTTTTTTTTTTTTTCCACTTTATTTCATTTTAACCGCTCAGTGGCTGCAGCCGCTGGGTTCCTGGTATTAAAAAGATGCCAACAGAGGTAGCTGTGTCTCGCCCAGGGGCCCGGCCCACTCTGAATACCCCCAAAAATGACAAAAGAAAACAAAATAAACCAACAAAATAAAACCAAAAGGAGGAAGAAATTCAGATCATTTTCTTCAAGCCTGGCAGGAACCCACAACAGTTTGTAACAGGTTACAGTGGGGAGAAGCCAGGGTCCAGAAGGTCAGCCCACCAGCTCCCTGCAGATGGCGCCGGCGCTACTGCTGTGTGTCTCTTCAGCAGGAAGGGCACCGCTGCCCCTCACTCCCTCCCAGCCCGGGTGGGGGTGCACTGTTCCTTTACAAGAAGATGGGCAGAAGGCCAGGGTCTCAGGCTCCCTGGGGAGAAGCTTCAAGGACAGAAAACTGCTCAGCTGTGGAAGTGGTCTTCATCCATCCAGGTCATCACTGCTGCTGGGCAACCTACAGGGAGAGAGCCAAGAGTTAGAATTCCAAACCACAGAAATGTACCTGAGCCCAGGGAACTCACTGGACAGCCCAGCTGCAGCCTGGCAATAAAACTAGGGACCAAGAGCAAAGATACAAGTCTGAGAACGGTTCTGTGGGAAAAGCTGGCACAGATAAGAAAACGGTCCTACCTGCTGTGGGGGAGGCTCCGGTGCCCGGTTTGCCAGGCGGCTGAGAATGTTCCTCTCTGACATCTGTAACCTCACAGCAACTGGAGGAATTCGGGCAATGGTAGCTGGGAGTCGGGTCACATCAGCTTTCATGTCACTCAGCAGTTCTTCCAGCTGTTTCAGAACTGTAGAGGGAGAAAAAAAGGTGGTTAGCTATGGTGGTCAAGATGGAGATCCTCGATCTTTCTACCCTGACCCCATCTTTTTTTTGGGGGGGGGGTGTTTTTTGAGACAGGGTCTCACTATGTAGTTCAGGCTAACCTTGAACTAACTGTGCAGCCCAGGCTAGCCTTGAACCTGCAGTGATTTTCTTGCTTCAGCCTCCCAGATGCTGTGATTACAGGTGTGCACCAACATACCCAGTTCTCACTTCTCAATGACTGGGTGACTGTGATGTGTTGTCTTTTGTCACTAAGTCACCAGATCTAACCTCTTATCAGGCTCAGATTCCTCAACTCTAGATCACTGTCTCACAGTTCTCTGCTTTTTTTAAAGTGATCTAACTTTATCCCTTATCATTATCTCGTGCTCACTCTTGTCTGCATTTCTGCCAGTCTCCAGAGAAGCTTAGCTTATTCCTATTGTTTCCTTTGCTCTCTTATTTTGCCTCCCTATCTTCTGGATCCGTTTCCCACTTCCTCTAACAGCCTTTTCCTCATTTCACTCTCCACCTCCTCAGAATGATTTACTTTAATTAGAAACAAAATGTTGAAAGGGGTCTAGAATGTAAAGAGTTGTCAAAATTATCTTAAGTTACTTCTCTAAAGTGTCCCAGATGACACTATTATTCTGCTTTACTTTTCATCTCAAGATCGTGACTATATTAAGAATTACAGGGGCCAGGGATTTAGCTCAGTGGTTCCGCTGCCTGCCTCACAAGCGCAAGGACCCAAGTTCAATTGCCAGTACCATCCTTGATTGCCTCTAAGGCAGAGATCCTCAGCACACCCTAAAGCTCTCTAACAGACTCTGAAAAAGGTTTTGGGCAAAAATTATATGGGTGTTGTTGAGAAGGGGTTAGTGGAGAGGCGCAGCTCCATCACAGGAGGCAGGGGAGCCACTGGCTACCTTTGTGCAGGACTGCATTGGCTGGCTTGTTGCCTGCCATCGACTCCTTGGACAGGTGCTGGTGACTTTCCGCCAAACACTCCACCTCTGCAAAGCGAGTGTTGAGGGCCATGGAAGGGTGAGAAGGGTCCTCTGACATGTTCAGGTAAGCCGCCCTGCGCAGCTGCTCCTCGATCACCAGGGCTTGTTCTAAGAGCTGGACATGGATAAAGACATGGGAGTCAGGCCAACAGGTCATTATGTTTATTTCTCATGGGCTTCTCAGCTCACCTTTCTCCAGGTAGTGAGAGCCTATAGGGATGGCTCCTTAACACCATTGCTCATACTCAAGAAGCTCACCAATGGGTCGGGAATTTAGCTCAGGGGTTCCGCCACCTGCCTTGCAAGCACAAGGACCCATTAGATCCCCGGTAGAAAAAAAAAAAAGAAGCTCACCATTACACTGCCTTTTTCTTTCCCACTGACAGTCCATGTCTCTACAACTTTACTCTTTAGATTGTCTTACAATAAAAACTCAACTTAGAAAATATAAAATAAGATGAAATATAGGGAGAGAGAAAGGGGAGGGGACATAAAAAAACTAAAATGTGTTATGTACATGCTCCCCATGACTATGTAATCATTACTGTAAACATGTACTGATAAAAATTTAAATGTTTAAAAATGAAAGAAAATAAAAAGATAAAGCCACACAAAATCCCACCTGTATACTGTTAACATTCTGGTGTTGCTCTTTAAAAGATTTTTCTTTGCAGTATCTTATGTTATCGAGATCATATTAGCCATGTCCACATTATGTTTTCACTCAAAGTTATATAATAAGCACCTTCCTGTATCATTACTCTCCTAAACCACAGATTTCTTTTAAAATGAGAGAAGGCCTTACTAAACTGTTCTGGCAGGGCCAGAGATTTAGCCCAGTGGTTCCAGCGCCTGCCTTGCAAGTGTAAGGTCCTGAGTTCGATCCCTGGTACCAAAAAACAACAACAACAACAACAACAACAATAAACTGTTTGGGCAAGGGCCAGGGATTTAGCTCAGTGGTGCCACACCTGCCTGGCAAGTGCAAGGTTCTGAGTTCAATCCCTGGTACACCGGGGAAAAAATCTGTTTGGGCTGGCCTCCCCTCCTACTTGCAGTCTTCTAGTCTCAAGCCTCCCAAGTTGCCAGACCTATTAGCACGTAATTACTGTACCCAGCAAAAACACATTTTAATAGTTACATGGTAACCCATCCTATGGATACACCCTACCATATCCATTAGGTTCTTTTACCTTCAAAAATACTTTTGTGGGATTTTTTTTGTTTTGTTATATTTTTTTCAGACAGGGTCTTACTATGTAGTTTAGGCTGACCTTGAACTCACTAGGTAAACCAAGCTGGCCATGATCTCACAGTGAGTCTCCTGCTTCAGCCTCCCAAATGCTGATTTACAGGCATGCAGCACTATGCCTGGCTTGTTGGGTCATATTAAATGGGGAAAAACTGAAAACTTTTCCTCTAAAACCAGGAACAAGACAAGGATGTCCACCATCACCACTCCTGTTTAAGTGAAATGTTAGCCAGAGAAAACAGGTAAGAGAAAGACAAAAAATACATATAGGAAAAGCAGATGTCATACTATCCATTTTTACAGATGATATGATCCTTTACACAGAAGATCCAAAAAAAGTTCCATCAAAAGACTCCTAGAACTAATAAATTCAGTAAGGTAGCAGCAGAATACAAAAATCAAGTGGTTCCTATAAACCACTAATGAGCCACCAGGAAAGAAATTTGGAAAATACCATCCCTAACAGCTATAAGAAAAAAATTAGGCCGGGGATTTAGCTCAGTGGTTCGGTGGCCTGCCTTGCAAGCGCAAGCACCTGAGTTCAATTCCCGGTACACAAAAAAAAAAAAAAAAAAAAAAAAAAAAAAAAAAAGAAAAAAATTAAATAGGACCAGGGATTTAGCTCAGTGGATCCACTGCCCGCCTCACAAGCACAAGGACCCGAGTTCAATCCCCAGTACCAACAAAAAAAAAAATAAAAAATGAAGAAAGAAAGGTAAATTAAATACTTAGGAATTAACGAAATAAAAGACTTCTGAAAGAATAACTAGAATTCAAAAGAGGACATCAGAAAATAAATATCCCCCATTCCTGAAGAGGCAAAACCAGTATTGTCAAAATGGCCATATTACCAAAACATTAAATGCAATCCCAATCAAAACACCAACAGCATTCATCATAG